GTAAGCCATACAAACATTTCTCCTGGCCCGGGAATCGAACCTGGGACCTCTGCGTGGCAGTCCGGCATGGTAACCGTTCGGCCACGGAGGCAGTGTTATTTATTACAAAAACAATAAATATAAACAATATTTATTGTTTTTGTAACCTGTTCACTTATAATTAGTTGTGCAATAAAATCTCCGCCAATAAGTAAATAAAATAAAAATCCGAAACAAAATAGTCTTAAACATTTATAAAAAACTTCCATTTAATAAATTTTTAAATAGTTTTCTATACATCAATCTAAATATTTAATAATATGACAATGTTACGAAAAATCAGACATTCAGTGGGTGGCACTTGGAAATATACCCTTTAGGGTGCGTACAGATGTGGCGAATGCCCCATGTGCGCACTGCACGCGCGCTGCATGCGTGCAGTTAAATATATGCTAGTAATTATGTGGCGAGTGGCGCGCGAACGGCACGCGAACAGATCGCACAGCGTAATGCACGTGCGCAGCTCGCGAGTCTTTCGCATACAGCTCTTTCGCGAAATCTGTACGCACCCTTAGGAAACTTCTTGATGCTGACTCAACAAAATTATATTTAATAGTAAATGTACCATGAGTTTAAAGTGAGAAGTTGTGGCTAGCGATCGTGTAAAATACTTCACAATGTCGTATGGCAAATTGTACTGCGCCCCTAAGGCTGCTAACAGATTGACTGCATGTTTATAGTTAATACGTGAAGTCGTAATGTCGTAATCAACTTCATGCACTCAAGACAACGACTGCATAAACTTGATAACGACTTCACGCATTATATACATGCAGTTGATCTCAGCTGCACGAAGTCGGTTCCAACTACAAGCAGTTAATGCGTATAACGACTTCATGCATTAACTGTCGAAAGTCGAAATCGACTTCATGCAGCCGAGATCGACATACAGTCAATCTATTAGCAGCCTAACAGTCAGAAGATGTAATATTCTGTCTTTACGAGGTTGCTAGCTAACACGAATCCTGAGTGTTACAACTCAAATTTGACGGCCTCTGTGGTCGAGTGGCTTGCACACCAGTTTTCATGGTGTCGCCATCTCTGAGGTCGATTCGATCCCCGGCCGGGTCAGTGTAGAAAACAAACTTTTCTTGCTGTTCGATGAATTGTTAATTGCCGTTTTTGATTTTCGGACTATTGTTCACTTAGACCACATGACTGAATGTAGGACAGCACGTATTAACCGTTAACATACTGCAGGTCTGTTAGCAGCCTAATATACATATGACAGAATTGATAACATTTTCCTCTGCAATCGCAGAATGCATTAAGCAAAACATCAAAGTTATAATTTTACTTAGAATTGCAAAATTTTTCATCTAAATACGTTACCGTATTAAAGTAATTACTAGTTACACATCGAAAATTTAGAACTAAATACAGTTCAATAATTCTGAGGGAAGTATGGCTATATGGTATGATTATTATGCAATTGGATGTAAATAATTCCTTTTTTAAACAAAACTGTTAATTATGGAACTAACGACAAAGGGTCTTGGAAAAAGTGAAGTCCTCAAATCCACATTGGGATAAAGCCTCTTCTTAGATGAGACCAGTGCTCACCAGTGGGACGTATAATGAGTTGATGATGATGAATTCACAAATTGATTGATTTTTTTCTTGAGTTAGCATGTATTTATGTTAAGTAAGCAGTACATTGTACATAGGTTTAAATCTATCCAAATCTATACTGTCATGTTATATAGAATATACATATATAATACTGTTCTAATTACATAGACAATTATTTCATTCATAGTTAAACTAGAGACGTTATCACGGAAAAAAACCTTGTTATTCGTTTAAGCAGGTTAAAACTACTTTCGATACACTAAACCATAGGTTCCCAAATTTTTTGACCCACCGCCCAAACACAAAAAATCACACGACGTGTTTGGGCACCTATGCAATAAAGAATAATATTTCTAGTGGCAGTGAATGTCTGGTATATTGAATTTTTTGCTCGTGGAGTCAGCGAATTCCAAAGGGTCACATTATTTTTATTGTGTTATTTACATTTCGTTATATATTATAATGATGTACTTACATCTAATTTATAGTTGTAATTTACTGCACTGTCGCATTAGGTTTCCCTGTAATGATAATGGTATGGTTTCACCCTTGTTTTGTACTGGACCGACTGCTAATAAAGCTGAGAGTAAGGTCCATTTTCGGCGTATTACAAAATTAGGCCATCCACATTATTCCTTAACATTTCATATAACGCAGCTAAATACTGACACGTCCACAGGTACAACTAAAGGCCGACCATTTAACGGAGTCGGTTCTGAGGTAGCTGCGCGGTGCGGGAGGAGTTACATAACACGCAACATAACAGTTATGTCGGGCTGCACACGGGATAATTTCAACAAGATTTTTCTTACGATATTCAATAGCAAGTTGGTTGAAAAAAGTCCCTACCAAATTAATCAATTGTTATGTGAAAAGATAACAAAAAAATAAATTTAATTGAGAATTGAAATGAATAGACAAGGCATTTGGCACTTTTTTCAATAAAATCTATTCTAAAATCCATTGGCAACCGTACCGAACTCGCAACTAGAAGTCCGCGGGTAATAGGTCCCCGATTCTACGAACATCTACCCACAAACCTGAAAAGTGTTACAAACGACGAAACTTTGAATACCCGACTACAACTTCCTTTATTGGATAATGAATGAAAGTTTCTTTTGAAATATTTGTAATGTTGTTTTAATTAACTTCGTTGTATCACAACAACACAAGCAACAGTAGACAAGCAGTAGTTATACTACTTTATTTTATATTCATTATTATTGTTTGCGTTAGTGACGATCATATTATCCCTTGACATTGTATTTTTAATTGTAGTTATATGTTATATCATTGATCATATGAAATAAATGATTCTGTTCTATTCTATCGAATATCGTCGGGAAAATGTTGTTGAAATTATACCATGTGCAGCGCGACATAACTGTTACGTAAGCTGTCACTCCTTCCGCACCTCGCAGCTACCTCAGGAACCGCTCAGTTAAGTGGTACGCCTTGTAGTAAATTCTTTCTTCCTTTGTTCTTCTATGATTATATGATTTGTTTTACTACAACACGGTACAAATGTTTTTTTTTAAAGTAAACAATCAGACAAGACCAAAATAGAGTAAGTGCTGTGTTTGAAGGCACCAGATTGCTTTGCTTCTATTCTTCCTAATCTGTACGCCAAAGGAATGGAATGTCTTCCTCGAAAGCTACAATTCAGGGCTATTGAAGGTATCTAAGTGAATAGGCTATTAGACAAACGTGTAATGTTGTCTGCATTTGCCACAGTGACAAAGAATTTGTCTATTTACCTTTAAAAAAGGATAAAACAAGATCTGTAATCTGCACGTAAAGGCAGCAGCATGGTGACAAAAATCTATGTGTGTAAATCATTGAAATTTCAGTGCGAACCTAATCTCAGGTTTCTGCTATTAACGCAATACTACAAAATCAAACAAATTAATCTTTGTACTCTATAAATATTCGCATTGAAACAAGTCGTCTCATAGTTTCAATCTAATTTATCTTCTGAACTCTTAGCTAGATCCATAAGTTTGCTCATCAGTTCTCCCCCAAAAGACTCCTTGTATTTCTGACTTATATTATTGAGTAACGCGTAAGGAGTCTCGTAGATATCATTGTCCATTTGTGCCAGGCTGTTGTCATCGTAAGTTCGACCCACGATCCTGAATCCCAAGGCTGACATTTCAATGCAGTAATTCGAGTTTTCCAAAGTAGTCAAGTTGATGTATATGCGTTGGTTGGTGTTAGTTAATATGGGGGAAACTGAGGCGTTGCTCACGTGTTTTCGGATGTCATTTATGGCTGCTTCAGCTTCTTGTGGCCAGGTTATTTCATCCAGAATTTCATCAGTTGCATCCATTATTATTCCTGAAACATTGTTAAAGGTTGCTGTTAGTTTGTGAAGACCAGCTCATTGTAATGAATAAAAACAAATGTTTGTAAATGATCATGGGCCAAGCCTCTTTTTGGGTATTAAAATATTTAATAAAATACCAAATGTGTAAGGAAACTAGACAAATGGCTTATGGAAAATTGTTTTTACAACATTAAAGAATTTTCAGTTTAAGAATTAATATTGTAGTGTAATGTAAGTTTGAACTTTTGTATGCGAACGATCGATAAGACATGCTGAACTAATTAGTTAACTAACTTGTTTGTAAACTTTTATTTAACCGTCTTACGCAAACAAAAAAAAAATCATTTCATTTGTACGGTACCAATTTTGATAAACGCTGAATTGTTGCTGTTGTAAATAAATATTATTACACAACCAGATTTATAATTCGCCAAACCCATAAATAAACGCTTCGATAAGCAATGACACTATTCGCTTTTGTCCGAACCTAAACCAAAAACCTAATCTTTCCTTTAACCTTTCAGGCTAAAATTCTTTCAAGACTGGGTAGACGAAGGCCCACCAGTGGTGTTCTGGATCTCTGGATTCTATTTTACTCAGTCTTTCCTGACTGGTGTACTACAGAACTATTCCCGACATAACAAGATACCTATCGACCAGGTTCAATTCGAGTTTACAATCACCTCCATGGAAGCCGAGTGTAGTACTAACCCAGATTTTGGAGTTTATTGTAAGGTAAGCTTACTTTTTGTGAATAATTTGAATTTTCTACCACTTTAAAGAAATATTGGAAGACATTTTTGTATTCATAAGTATTACCTACAAGTTTAACTGAATGATGGATCAGAGACATCACATGCAGATATATCGTAAATTAAATAATCAAATGAGAATTTCACAATGGCGCGTTGTGATCTGGCACAGGGCAGCATGATCAAATTATTATTTATGAATATTAATTTGTTCCTGTTTGTACGCAAGCAAAAACCAATGGATAAACAGGGCCAGGAACACAGTTTCTTCGTTTGGGTAAGCAAGCATGACAGTGGGTGTTGTTTGCAGATCTAACTTTAACAAATTTATTACAGTATTAGATTTTATAACATAATCGCATTCACATTGAAGTACGTCCATAACAAATCCATTACTAAATTGGAGCATGATAATATAATATGCATGGCAAAATTTATTTAAGGTTCATATTCACTCATAATTAGAGACTTATTTCTATATGGTACCTAATTCTGTAAGCAGTAACGTAAGCATTACTGCGTTCTGGTTTTGAAGGGTACGGGTGCTGGAGAAATTACGAAATTATGGATGCAATGGCAATACCCGTCATATCTCTGATTTAAAGCTCTGAGCGGTACTGCATGGGTAGTCATATCGCTAACCACCAGATAGATGCACAACATGTTAGCCCCCACCACTTGATACCTAGATAAAAAAAGAATTGCCAAATAACAATTTCTGAATCAGCGTTTAGAATCAATGAAGGAGCTTTGCTCATGTGAGATTAATTATGGTACCTGAATAATATCTATCTTAGTCGATACATACTTAACATCGGACTTACGACTGTGTAGAAGGAGCTGTATATGGGCCTAAATATAAAAGCACTAATATATCATTAAATGTAATATCTTTGCATTGCACTATTTACTTAATTAAGTTTTCGGAATGTTTTGAAGTTTCTTGATTATCCAATGCATGTATGTGACTTACCTCAGCACTACTTTTGGTATTATATTCAAGTAAAACAAAAGCTAATACAATATTTTTACACACAGGGTCTATTCCTGGAAGGTGCAAGATGGAATCGTCAAACAATGATGCTTGACGAATCGTATCCTAAGATCCTCTTTGACACCATACCTATAATCTGGTTCCAACCAGCTCTGATTGCCGATTTCAACCCTCCACCGTGCTACTTCTGTCCTATTTACAAGACGAGTGAACGGAAAGGTGTTTTAGCCACAACGGGACATTCAAGCAACTTTGTTATGTATATCACATTGCTCTCTGATATACCCCAGAAGCATTGGATCAATCGTGGTGTGGCCAGTTTGACACAACTGGATGATTAATAGGTGAATGCTTTTGGTTACATATTATAGGTAAATCGCACATTGTAAAGATTAAACAGTGTCTATACCAAACGTGGTATAGATAGTAATATTAATAATATCAAATTGTCGTGTTTTCCAAGACATAAGAAAGGATGGCAAGACTGGTAAAATTCCAGGGGCCTTCATACCCATTACAAGTAGAGCCTGTAACCCCAGAAGTCTATGAGTGGGCCTAAGTAGGCCTAGGTTTTATAAACCATATAACATACAATAAAATGAACAGTCTTTAGAGATTACTCAGAAAAATTTGTTTCACATTTGAGGAATTTTGGAATAAAAACCGATAAATCGTCGGTTAAAAGGTAAAACTCATTAAGTGACATTTTGTTCAAAAACTAGATTTTTTCAATTTTGCTTTATTGGGAAGAACATCTATGACAAGAAAAATTCAGTAAGTCTGTGGTGTCCTTCATGTTTTAATACATACCAGTCCTTTAGTGATTTTTCATAATGAAAAAATACAAAATCTTAATTATCTCCCTTTGGCCAATTAGGCTATTAGTGAGTTTTACCTTTTAACCGACGAAATATCGATTCAAGTCCAGTCTCATTAATTTTGAGTCCATGGATTTGAAACATATTTTTAACATATTATTTAGTGGTTGATAATCAGATTGGGCAAATTATTCATCAAAATGTACATAAAGGTACCGTTTGGCTTTGAAAATTAGGAATGATTCAAAATGTGACATAGCTGTTTTTGTTTTTTTTTTCTGGTAATGTTTAGATTGGTATTATTAATGAAATCATTTATTTCATAATTGGTATTTGACTACCCCAGTGGCTTAACTGTTTACGTTGTGGGTGCTGGATGCGGGGGCTCTGGGTTTGATTCCCAGAAGAATCAATTTGGTAAATGAACTTTCTAAATTGGTTCTGGCTTGGGTGTTTTGGAAAGTGTCCAAGTGAATTCCGTTGCTCTGGCACTCTTAGTACATGTGATTATCAAGTTTAAGATCAAGCAATTGGTGAGGATATCCTGCACCATCAAGTACATAACCAGCAATAGAGACGAAACAAGGGCCATCCATCCCTAGCAACAACCAGTGCACAGTTGTTACCGTAATGATTTGGCAGAATAGTTTTTAAACAAATTAAACGACATTTTGTCTTTATTTCTGCTTATATACTCGATGTCTGGCACGTATATTTCTGGGGTCGGCGGACTAAAGCACATAAGTCAAATTCATTTGTTACTTCATAAATTTGTAACTTTATTCAAGAGGTTATTTAACTTCCGACACTAAAAACAACACAAAAAAATATAAAATTATATAATGACAAATGAAGCACTTTTTGCCTTATGTGCTTTAGTCCGCCGACCCTAGATATATATTGACTGAAACCAATTTCATAATTTGTAGACTACTATTAATATGTGTTTGTTTTCTTGCAGGAAATTCAGAAGGGCTTATGAGATTTTTTGTAAATATCGTAATTTATTTCTCATTATATTCCTTTTAATATTACAATAATATTTAACAACTGTGATATTTTGTATCAAGTCTTAATCATTGAAAAATAAAATATTATAGTATTTTATTACGAGTTTTAGTTTTATTTCTTACTATTTTTTTTTAATTATTTAATTTAAAAGCAAAGGAAAGTCTTCAAAATGAAATAGGGTTGGCGTACTAAAGTGTGTAAGACAAAAACAAAGTTCATTTAAATTAAGACATCTACCTACTAAAGCACATTAGTCAAATTCCAATTGTTGCTTCCTTAATTTGTAACTTAAAATCTAGTGGCATCTTTTAAAATCTGTCATTGTCTTCATAACATTGTGTAATAGCAACAGTATGTACCTATTTATAACTAAATTGTCTTTTATATAATATTCACATAAAATTTAAAGTTGTAATTTTAATTATATATTATTAATATAGTTAAATTAAATCTAAAAGAAATATTATTTTCTATTATATTTATATTATCTTTTGTATTTATTTAGTTTCGAAATTATTATTTGTTTAATTTATCCAACATGAAATGGTGCCAGCTAGCTGCTTATTATATTCACAACATCCTCTAGAGGTCATAGCTGAAAATGAGCGTTTTGCTCCTGAGTAAACACCAATGCTGAGCTATAGCCTTTTTGCACTGCTACAGCACACATACATAATTGAGTGTCAGGCAGTGCTGAGACTCTGCTGTTTTTTCTTTTTATTATATTACATATTTTTCTGTTATGTATATCTGTAATGTCTGTAGATCCAAATAAACGTTTTATCTGTTTATCTATCTTCACATTCACATCTTCCAATATTTTTGCTTATGTGCTCTAGTCCGCCAACCCTAGATATATTATAACACAAATTGCTACTGAATCTTGAGCTAATTATAGAATATAATAATAAAAGCTAGTTATAGAGTGAGAATGTGGTTTTTAAGTTGTCAGTCATTAATTTGTTACTTGATACTCAATATATTTATTGTATCCATATCATTGACTTACAAATAAATGGATGACGGGTCTAATACAAAAACCACGAAAAAATGTCCTAAGTCAACCTATTTAAACGTAGTGACATGTAAAGGAATATGAAAAAGCTAAAATGTTGAATTTAAATTGTAATGTCATCGCAGTACTGTCTAATTTTGCTTGCTTCGCTGTCAGTCGAACAAACGAAGACTAAAGCGTGAATGACGCTCTGTATACGATTTTAACGCCCTATAAGTTCGGACACCTTTAATTAGCGCGGACCCGACGTCCATATAATTGTAAGTCAATGATACATATGGTAAATGAGGTCAAAAAATTAAAATAATTTTACACATATTTATTTATTTCAAATGCAAGTCATAACAATACACGTTCCATTAGGTTAGTACTTAGTGTATTGTTATGACACCCCGCAGGGATATGGCACTTAGTCGCCACATATATGAGCCCTATAATATTAGGGATAACAAGAGCAAAGGTAGGCAGACGCTTTGTTATTACATTAACTTTAATAATCAGTGTTAGGTAAAAACATCGATGGGTAAAAAAAATTAAACGAAAGAACCCATTATCACTTAAATATAGAAAGAAATGTGTTTATACAAAAGAAGCACCGGTCGTAGAGTTCAAATTTCGCGCAAGTTTTCCTTTTTACACTTACCCTGTGTTTCAGTTAATTGAAGAATTTTCCAAAAAATTTATTCCCAGAAATACAATTTCAAATCAATGAAAAACTATAGAATTCGAGCAATTCTGTAAAAACTCCATTCCTCTTGCAACCACAACTGTGAAACAAAAATTGACATTACAACCATAGATGATACACTAACGATGACGGTTAGTATCTAGTGTTGTCATCGCCAACCGAATCGATTACTTGATGGTTAATCGAATGATTGTTTGCACATGCGACATGCGTAAATATTGAGATTAATTTTTATAATAACTAAGAATATATGTTTACAGAAAACATAACAATATTTCATTTAATTGCTCTGCAACGCACCGCTACTACCGTTGATAAGTGAACACTTAAGGTTTAATTCACAGCATACGCTAACAATTTTAAATACTGTGAGGAATCAGAGGAGATAAAAATATATATTGTACAAAAATTACAATAAAATTATATTTTCATAAATATTAAAATATATATTTTCACACTCTTTGCACATTGAACTTGAAAACGATTATTACATCAAATTGGGCTTCCAAAAAACCTTCATGAATATAATTATATCGATTGGAAACAAAATATTAATCTTAACCCACAACACTAGTGATTCTTTACACGCATTTTTCGACTACCATTTTCAATCAAATTACTACAAAATTAGGGTTTCTAATGTCATATAAATGTTGTGTTAATTAGTTAACATAGTAAAACTTATCAAGATATTAATTTCTATTAATCATCTTAGTTTGTATTTTCAATCAGCAGTCATTTATTGACCTCATTGTTTTTAGATGGTTACTTCCTCCATTAACAATGTATGCGGGGAACGGAATAATATGTTTAGTACTATTTTTTGCTGTGTTGTGTAGATGGCGCAGCAAACTTGTAAACTGCGTTGCCGAACTGACGTTTTTGGTTATTTTTGTTCTCGCCTCGTGTTTACTTTAGTGTCTAATTTCGTTCCAATTGCGAAAATTCAGTTGTGCAACATCTAAAAGTTCAATATTTTGAACATATACGGCATTTTCGTACGGAATAGTATCGATCCGCAGTTCCAGAGTAGGTATATGTATACAGTTCTATCACGTGGTGGTGTGGTGGTTTATATAATTCTTGTTTACCGCACAAGCAGAAAGTTTGCGCATGTGCGTCCCGTCAGTAACCTCAAATTGTAGAGCGGGCAGAGATTCGGCAGGTTCCGGATATCCGGGTGTGTGCGCGGAGGCGGCTGGTCCGATCGTGTGATGCGCCCTCGTGTTGGTGCGCGCGTGGCGAGTGGAGTGCGGCAGGCTTGGTGAAACGTCCGGCCCGCGCGTGCCATGGCCCAGACTCAGTTCTCGCGGAGTTCAGAGAGCGACGCTTGGGCGCTGCTCTCGCTAAAGTCGGCGCCGCCGTCGCCCTCCAAGGTGCAGTGGGCGCAGGAGCCATCGCCGGTGGCAATCGCGCGGCTTGACGGCCGTGACTTCGAGTACCTGATCCGCCAAAAGCGCGTCATCATCGGGCGCAACTCTAGTCGCGGCCAAGTGGACGTGAATATGGGCCACTCGAGCTTCATTTCACGGCGGCATCTCGAGCTATTCTACGACGCTCCGGAGTTCTATTTAACGTGCAACAGCAAGAATGGCGTGCTCGTCGACGGCATCTTCCAGCGGAAAGGCTCTGCCCCAATGCTGCTGCCACGGAGGTGAGTCTTCCTTCTTTCATATCTCATCACTGATAAGCCTGCATTATATACAAGAATCAATTAGTTATTTGTTAGTAAACAAACCATTTGTTTATGTCTGCCCACCTGTTATTGAGTTGTTCAATAAATGCTCCTGCTGTTGTGGATCTATGTTGACACATGTGGTTTTTTCCGTCTAACTGAATCAATAAAAATGGAAATAAACTAATTTGCTACTTTGCAAACCCAGTGAAGGTTTTCTTAATTTTGTGCAGAGTGAGGGTGGGAAATTTAACTGAATAAAAAAATATTCAACACAAACAGCTATTTTGCAAGATTTAACTTTCTCTGGGTTCGCGGAGTAGCAAATAAAGTTATTTCCATTTTTATCTACATGGACTTCCATGCAAAGTAACACCTGAATCTATTAGTTGCCTGTAGTTAGTTAGTTAGTGATCGTAAAAGTAGAATTACAAGTTAAGCTAACTGTTATTTATATAGTATTTTTTTCTCTTTAAAACATTAAACAAACATACTTCTTGTAAAACTATACACATATGAAACCATTTAATGTTTTCAAATACTCCTTGCTTAATACTATATTGCAATTTGCAGATATTTTTTATCTTTAACCTTTGCATGGGCATGTAAACAAACAATAAATTTTGAGGTCACCAATAATTTTATCTCCCTAATTTTGCACATAATACAAATTTATCAAGTAAAATTAAACTGTAATCTTTTATTTGTAAACAGTGTGATAAGCAACCCAAACAAACTATGGTGGTTGGATGATGCAACAATCCGAAATACAAACAAAAAATATTATGTAACATGAATTCAAATGCACCTATTAGTGTGGCCCGCTAACATACATACATACCTATAAATAACATGTTTCATTTAAAAACATAATAAGGAAACAATCCTATTCTATCGGATTTCATCATTTCCATGTAACAGAAAAAATTGCATAATGAAATAAAGATACAAACTGCAAGGATGGATTTTCATAAGGGATTAGAAAGCATAAATTTGTCTAAAAAATTACCACCCATGAAACTGTAAAGAAGGTTAATGGATAAATGTTTTTTTTGTCTCGTGTCTTCTTAAGCACGTAGTTATACTGTATTATATTGTAAAATTGTGTATTTCCAATATAAACTTATAAATATCCAGTTAAGAAACATTGATAATTTTTGTTTACCTTCAATAATATTTTAAACAGTGGGTGTGTACATATTTATTACTTAAATGAATTCACATCCAGACTATGTTTTAAAATATAAATGTTACGAGTCAAAAGGTTATGTGTTATATTTTCATTCAGCATAAATGTGTTCAAAACAATTTTGCAGCAAAACAATTTTGCAGCAAAGTTTATATAGCTACGCTAACAAATTACCTTATCTTTTGACTTCTCTTTAGTTAGGGAAAAACCAAAAGTAAATTAACATGTATTTAACGCAACTGTGAGAGCAAACTACCTATTATTATGTTATTAATTACATTCCATCTTATCAAGTAGGTCATTCATCTGTTTGTTTATAAGATTGTCTTAGTCATTATGAAAGGTCCAATCTACTAGTAATTTCTATAAGAGCAACTGCGAAAGTCAAGGAAAAGTCTTCCTTACTACCCCTACCTAACAAAAATAAACAATCAAAACCAGGAAAATCAATTCTTTAATTACAATAGATCAACTGCTGTTTGCAGAAGGTTGGTTGTTTAATGAAGGGCTGTGCTCAACTAGCCTGAACAACTAGCCTAATAATAATAACTTACAAAATAGAGAGCAGAACAACAATTTTTCTATTAAAAAAAACTTCCATGAACGAGAGATTAAAACACTCTTTATTTATTACTTTAATAGTTTACTGTAAAGTGTAATCCTACAGTTTTTTTTTAAAACATGTAGTAAGCTCCTTTTCTTATTTAACATTATGTTTATTATGTTTATCTATTCTAAATCTCGTAGAACGTCATTATAGTGACAAGTACGCGCGGCGATCGCGACTTGGGCGTAGTATTTATGTCACATGTTGTGTTGTGTATTATATTAGACGGCGCGGCCTTGTGCTCATTGTCTGTGCATTGCTATCTAGACTTTAGACTATTCTACATTTTAAATCTTGCTCTTTGATTGTGTACAAGCAATTACTCATTGGGTTCTTTTAATATGTCTGTATATTGTAATATGGAAATGGTAAAGGGTTCATTTGTTACAATTCTCATTGGCTTGCCTAAGAAAACTTCTACTTAGTAGTAGTAGGTATTGAACAGAAAATTCCTTCCATTGCAGTGTTTCTAGAACACCCTTCTAAACGGGCCAATGTAATGTTGTAAAGTTTTATTTCATTTCTGTGAATGAACTTTGGTTATCCTCAAGGTTAACTACAGACATAAATTCATCATTCTAAACCTACAGTGTTACAATTTTGTAACACAAATGATTCACTTGTTTTCGGCCGCATTTTCGTCAAAATTTCATCATAGATTCTGAGTCAGAGTCAGAGGACAAGACATGTATCGTAATGACAGTGAAAGGTCTTTTTACTAACAATTTTCCTGTTTGTCTTGTGACCACGTTATTGGTATTGGATGTAAACAAATTGTTGTGCAACTTTTTCTTTTGTTGTGCATTTTTTGCAATTGTTGTGCATAATTACTGTTCTTAATTATTTTATCATCAGTAGTAGAAGAGAGCCTTATGAAAGTGTTTGTCAAGGGAAATACTGCCCATCATACTTATTTCAGCCGCCAAGCAATAATGTGAGCATTACTGTTTTTGGTTTTGAAGGGTGAAAGTAATAAATAAATGTAATTTAAATATTAGACGTCATCACGTACATTGTACTGGTCCCAAAGAAAGTAACTAAACGACTTGTGTTTTGGAAATCAGAAATATGACGGTATCTCAAATATTCAGACCTGAGACAATATAGAAAAGTTACTTTTCTACATCAGAGTCTATCACAGGACACCATGAGAGTGCAAGCCAGTCAACCATGGAGGTAATCAAAAACTATAGGCACATGCGACTTGTCAACTTATGTCTCTGCATGCTCGTCAGATCTTTGAGATTTAAACCTTTGATACAGGCCCACGGCTTGTTCTTCCAGTAACTTGATACAATTAAAATATCGCTTTCATGAAGATTGCTACTGCTACTCCTTGGAGGAGACCGATGCCCAACTGTGGGATATGTAATAGGTTGATGAAGATGATCTTTAGGAAACATCTTCACTTGTTTATGTTATATATAAAATCCTAACATTAAAATAAAAAATTATATAACATCAAACCTGTGCCAATATTATTATGTACTTTTCTACCCATGATGATGAATAAAAATATTATTATTATTATTATAAAATTCAGAATAAAGACTACAATTTTCAGCTTTGTCATGATTTTTAACTTATATAAAGTGTGTCATAAACACTACTGGTGTATGTTATGTACTGTCTATATTATGTGTCGTATGACACTATAAATGTTTTGTTCTTTCATTATTTAATTTGTTTCATTAGCTAATTAATAAATATGTAATATAGTATTGAATATACGTATTTTGCCAGCATTTTTAACATATAGCAAACTTTTTTTTGGTGATTTTATTGGTAATTTTATTAGATATAATTAAAGAGTGTTTAAAAGGTGTTGAAGTTGATTTTTAAGTTCTATTTTTTTATATATATTTCATGACCTTGGTTTAAGTTCTACTACAGTTGAAATATTAAAGAAAATAAATATAGAAAGTAATATAAAACAGCAATCTTGAAAGCGTTAGAAACGAGGAAATTGGATAATGGGTTCTATTAGAGGATTTTTTTTGAAGACAAGTAATATTGTGTATTACCTATTATTGTTTTTATTAGTGCCGATAATTTGTCTTTTAACATTGTATTTTAAATCATAATATTGTGACTTTCATATGTTCTATTCTCGCTATTTACAAATATTAGTTATAATAATAGGTTTACACAATACTTATGTTTACCTTGTTTTCGCTGAGAAAGATCTAGATAGACATATAGGTCATATGCGCGAGGTAAACGCTGCTCTATACGATACTACAAGTAGTATATGGCACGTGTTTACGCTGGGCCGTGTGACGAACCGCTTGTTTATGCGTCTTGTTACATAACGTTGGAAACATACGGGTAAATATTGCGACAGCGACCGGCGACACGAATATATTGGCGTTTCATTACTGCTTCGCGTTGTCGTTAACTCAATCAATACGTCTTACTTCTGGTCACAAGTCTCTTCTAAGGATTTAGACCATGGTCTGTCAAACTGACCCAATGCGAGTGGAACCAAAATCATTCTTTTGGCTATACCCTTCAAAATAATTAAAATAATGAAGTGAATTTGGTAACAGAGGGAACCGCGTTCGAAGAGGTTGTAAAGTGACATGACCACGATCAATAAAATGCAATACTCCGGTCCACAAAACTTATTTCATAAGTAAAGTCGAAAGAAAGAAAGGAAGGCCCGAAAGGGCCGAGTTATACAATATTACTAGGTTAGATTGGTACTAAAATTGGCACATGATTTAGGTTGGGAACTGGGAAAAGGATCAAAATTAGAAGAGTAGCACTGCTCGCTTCAGCGATTGAGCAGAGAGTGACGAACGGAACGAAACAAAATGAGAATGACGAGGCAAAGGAAGTAAAGAACGATTCAAAATTTGAAAACACGTGGCCAGGAACCAAAGAACAGGTGAGAAAAGGAGGTTGCATCGTCAAAGGTTTAACCTTAACATCAACAGCGACGGGTTGCGGAGTTCGCACGCTTTACAAAGAAATCCAAGTTATCAAGTGCAACGAAATAAGATCCCTTGCTACCACATGGACTCGACCACTTGGACACATTTTCTCATTATGTGGATCAACTATCCAGATGTAAGATCATAGTACATTTGTCCAACCGCAGAATTATGTCACGGACGGGGTACGGTGTGGTGGGGTGAGCGGTGGCGATATGTCAGTGGTGTCAATTAGTGTTATACTTTC